GTAATTTGAGGAGCAGCGTTCCAAATGCCGTGACAAGATGTCCCTACTGTAGGGATATAACCATGTCTCGGTTAGAGGGATGAGGTCATGGGCCTTTGATGCTTGATAGAGTCGTAGTTCAGAAAGTTCACTAAGTAGGCATTAAGCATTGGTGTACATAGTGGAAAGCTTCCTTCATGTCAAAAGTTCTTGACGAGGAGCGTACAAAGAACGTGAATTTTTGCCGACTGATGAGATACCGGCACTTGCTTATTTCTTGGTTGACTTGCCGAACTTTGATATAACTGGAAACTGTTTCTGTGCTCTATATACGGAGGTTTCATGGTAGCTAATAGTATAAGCCCAACATTTTCTGAATCGCTCTGGTGGTTATATTGAGCCGCAGATAGCAAGTGACTGCGGTTCTCTAATTGATGTTTTCAATCCTAGTTACGAAAGAATTGTGTTGCGTGATATCTGCTTGCTGCGAATTAAGTTCAACGCCATCTGTTGTAACTGTGCCATTAGTTTCATTATCCTCGGTCCACTGCCTTAATAATGATGTGACACGGATAACAGCGTAATCGACTTAAGTATGAAGTCGCCAGTGTAGAGAGCTTCACGAATGTACTGCCATTCTTCCAGCTCGTGAGCATGGGATTCCTTCTTTCTAGATGCCGGTAGCTCAGACACGCCATGAACGAAAATGTTTCTGCTGCTACTGTCTGTGTGGTGGTCGTATGAATTATTTCTGGACATAATCGTTTGGCTTTAGAAAAAACGCTCTGCCAGTTAAAACCGCAGGCTGTGTTTCCGAACAAGCCCGAAAGGTACGTACACAACGTTTCTAGCGTGAAACTGGATACAACTTTAATTGAAGTTCTATCGCTCGGTTTGAAATTTTGTGCACCTAGACGTAGAGACAACCAACTTCATTACGAGTTGCAATTTGAAAACCTATTTGACCAAACGAATGGGTTAACACCTACGTCTAATATGGATCTCGAACGCTTTAAGTGCTTCTTAGTACCTTGTTGCTATCAGTATCGTAAACATAGTGTCCATAATTGTGGTCCATTAACAAGAAAGCACCTAAACGCGCTGAAGGATCTTAAACGCAACGAGGAGGTCATTCTGTGCCAACCGGACACGGGTGACGGTGTTGTATTATTAGACAAAGAAGATTATATTAATAAACACACAACCATTCTGAGCGATAAGACAAAGTTTTCCTGCGACACAAGGGAAGCTGACTAAACGGAACAGATTGAGAGACAGATCACTAAAAGCCTCCAACTGCTTCGGGTCAAGGGGTACCTAACCGATGCACTGTATGTCCGTCTTAGACCTTGTGGCACAGACGTTCCGAGACTTTATGGCTTGCCAAAATCCATAAGGTCGATATCTTGCTTCGTCCTATTCTGTTAATGGTTAACTCCCCCTACCACGCAGTTGCCCAGTGGCTGGTAGGAATTCTTGAGCCGTTGAGACAACAGCTTGCGACTTACAGCCTGCGCGACAGTATTCAGTTTGTCGAGAGCATCAAGGAGGCCAAAATTAATGAGAAAGTGATGCTCTCCTTTGATGTTGTCTCACTTTTCACTAACGTCCCGCTGATCGAAACCATTGATTACATTTGCGAGCAGATAACGGAGTTGGAAATTAAGATCTGTATACTTGTGCTTGAATTGCAAAACTTATTACTGAGGTGCACATGGAATGTGCAATTTCTATTTAATGGTAAATTTTACCGGCAAAAAGATGGCATAGCCATGGGATCCCCCCTCGGTCCATTGTTCGCAGATATATTCATGGCCAAATTGAAGCGAACAAAATTACAAGCGGATAAAATCTTTTGATTGCTATCATCGTTATATGGATGATATATTTATAGTGACAGATAAACGCATAAATCTGGATGACGTTCTCGATCGTTTTAACCGTCACGCAGCATTGCAATTTACGTACGAGGCAGAAACCTGCAATCGGCTTCCATATCTAGATGTCTTGTTAACTAGGAGGCCAGACGGCTCCATGCAGCGGAAAGTCTACAGGAAAAATACGTGGATTGGTCAATACACGAACTTTTACAGTTTCGTCCCACTGAGATATAAGCGAAACTTAATCCACTGCCTTACCACAAGAGCACGTAGAATTTGCTCGCAGGACACCCTGGATGAGGAACTAGCCTTTATAAAGAATACGCTGCGCGAGAATGACTACCCTGATAGATTTGTTTCAAAGAATTTTGAAGAAAAGCCCAAGCCGGTACCAGTTTTAACCGCGGCGAAGAAGGAGTTAATGTTAAGAATACCTTTTAATGGGGATGCCGCTGCCGAGCACCTGACCAAAAGTCTTTCAGCGGTAGTCAAGTCGACATTTCCAGCAGCCAGGTTGAAGTGCACATTTTCTACTGAACCACTTGTTTGTTCATGCAATAAGGATACGCTGCCATTGCTGACCTCATCTATGGTTATTTATCAGTTCAAGTGCGTTTGTGACGCTACTTATATTGGTCGAACGGCATGGCACTTGTCCAAACGCGTGAAGGAGCACTGCCCGCGCTGGTTGCGTCAAGGAGGAACTGGGGCCATTAGCAGCGCCGTTTTGGCCCATATTGTCGACACGGGGCACCAAGTCGATTTAAAGCGTGCCTTCAGGATAATTTACAGGGTCCCCCAGCATCAATCAAGAGGTTTGCGCCTCCGTGCGCTCGCGACAGCCGAATCGATTTGCATTCGGTTGTTTCAACCTTCATTATGCTCGCAAAAGAAGTTACTCCATGCCTTACAGCTTCCCTGGCCAGCTAGAACGAACGATACTGAGGTCGATTGCCACAGATCAAGCTCGATGACATGCAATCGACCTGTCAGATCAATGGTCAACTTTTAGCCTCCCTCACTGATCCGTTAATTAACTATGTAACTTGATCCAATGAGTTGATTTCAGTTCATTATTTTACCCTTAAACATGATTGTAATGGTCTGAAGAGAATCATCGAAAACAATTGTTCACCTATGGTCTTGTGTTCTTTTGAATTATTTCTGTCTCGCTGGCGTCAAATCCACGGGATAATCGAAAATGCGTATCCCACTGTGTTCACACAGCAAACCGTAGGCCGACATCAGTACCATCTCGACATCATTTGTGGATCCACATGTTATTCGTACAAGCCGGGACTCACCGAAGCGCATCGAGGTTGGACGTCTAGTGATTCACATTAAATTAGTCAACCTGGTCCGAACTCTGATTCGATCACGGGGAATTCCACTGGTTCAGATGGTATTCTGAAAATCTGTGGATTGATGAAAACATAATCACATACAAGCGGTTAATTAGTGAATTAGTTGTAAACCACTTTGAATACATTCACCGGTTGAGTTTTGCTGCACAACAGTGTTAAATTTGCAAGTATCACTATATCTCGTGGTTTGGAATCCGTTATTCATTGACAGTGAAGTGACGCATGAAGAACATCATTGATTCTCTGGTTACTAGAGGACGAGAACCTTGACATCGGGGAGAGAGCAGTCACCGTTCTTCTCCCATTTGCCACAACTAACCAGTGTAAAAGTGCATTTTCGCAATAACCAATCTCCAAAACAAAGTTATGCAAGGTACTTGAACCTGGACAAGGTTTAGGCTTTTAGCCTTTCGAGAACATAAAAAACCAAATCCGTCTGTGCTGTATGTCGGAAGCATGGTTAGCACACACATTAGAGACTACTTTTTGTCGTTTTTATGACTTTCATTATTTTACTAACATTAATGAACCTCCGTTCTTATTCAGCGCACAATAATGCAAGTTCTCAAGACAATGCGCTCCATTCTCATTTTATTACAGCCTAGTTCTGTGGTTGACACGATCGCAGGGGTTCGCCGTATAAAGTTTCAACAAAAATGGGTCCACGACCACAAATTTTGGCAACCTTTACTCTATTGATATGCTATTATCCAACTCCTTGTCAAATATGTAGATGCTCACAGCCGCGAACGCTCTATTATGCTATGAAATAAGTGAGGAATAGTAATCCATTTATGAATAATTATCGTCAGCGTAATCTGCAGGTAGAACAGTAGCTTCGTCGTCCACAAATGTGCCCAATATTGTTAAAAGCGGTTGATCAAATTGCCAATTTTTACTCATAATTAAGGTAATATGGCCGATAATTTATGATCTAACTGAAGGACACCCTCACATTCACAAAACTAGTGCAGCTCCAGCGTTGATGTGTGTAGTCCGACAGTTTAGTTTCCTGGATTCTTCTCCTTGTATTTTTGATGGAACTATTATGGACCGCCTGAAATAAGTCATCAGCTTTTGCAAATAAAAGGACGGTGTACCAGTAAAGATGACAATAATGCCTTTGTCGTTGTGTCAGTTTATCAATGGGTAATTTGTTGTGGTTTTGAGACTAAATGTAAGCTGCTATCTAGGTGATCTCTGTGATGAAGGAATCATTTCACAGTATATAGAAAGTTTTCGGCTTTCCACAGTTTTTGCAGTATTGTTGCGAACTTAATATATGCTCCTTGAGCATAAAGCGCAAGTTCGTAGTTAATATACCCGCAAACTGAGCGGTTTCGTATTCGCTGATCAAGAAAGTTGTAAGACATCCTTTCTCATTTACAAGAAGGCGTCCAGGCTTGTCAAAATGAAAGTTCGCTGAATAATTGTTGCGAAATCGGACACTATCTACTTTTGATAAATTTAATACCATTACTCTCTGCCAAGACTCCGAGCCTAACTCTTTTGCTTGACATTTTGTCAGACTATCCGTCCCACACAGTAAGTAATATACTCTGTTTAAACTGCTGCGTTCAATGATGATTGCTAATGTTTAAAAAAAGTATTTAAACCGTTTTCCAGTACAGGCTGAGGGTTACGTTTGTGTGACAGTACTTGCCATCCAAGCCCAGTAATAGTGGCAGGAGAATATTAACAACTGAACAGGAGGTACAGAAAAGATTTATTTTAAATAATAATAGGAATGATGCTAAAATAGTACTAACTTCCGTGTTCAAATTATAAAACAGGTGCCCATTGTGTCGGTCTTGTGAAGTGAGTAGCAACGAACCGTGATTCGACAAGAATCCAGTTTGACAGTGACGGTGCTTCTACCTCCTGTGAACACCGTGGTGTACAGGGCAAATTCAAATTCTGGTGATGTTCCAATAAGCAAACTTCCCTTTGATTTCACTGCGCCGTCATGCGTCACAAAAGATATTGTCACCAAGAGAGGAGGGTTTCCACAATTCTGCAATTTAACAGTAAATGTACGATCTCCCCAAATACAACTATAAACTGTCCATGTTAAAAGCGAACATAGTTTATCGCACACGGAAATAGTCCGGACATGAAGTGGGTGAAACCAAAATAGGTCACTTGTAGTTGATCGTTGCCTGTTAAATGCAAATGCTGTATGCTCTGCATTTTACTTTGCTTGTAAACTACAAACCCTGAGTTAACGAAAACAATTTTCTTCGCGGTGTGGTATTTTCACACGGATGTGAGATGTGGCGAAACCTGTAATGTGGAACAGGGGCTAGAGCGAATGCTTGACAGGTCCGTGGAATGATCTATTTGAAATAAAGTGGTTCAGGCACACTTTGACATCTGTGGACTCGTCATCGTATCCACCTTGCACGCATATATATCCGTCTATCTTGATTAGGTCGGTGTTAGTGGTCATCGTGTCCGTTTGCGTCTTTCTGTCACACGAAGAGCGGGACTCGTCACGTTAAGCAAATGACGTACTGTAACGTAGAGCCGTTTGTAAAAATGCATAAGGTGGACGCTACAATGTCATAAATAGGAAGATATTTCACAATTAACAGATTCAGAGGGAAAAATTCCGGCGGTGTTCTGGTCGGCTGGATGGAAGGGCCAATTTTAGCTACTCGCACCTCCGTTTTGTGTAACGGATGTGTATCAGGTGGCAGCAAACATGAATGGGGTTCCTCAGAACCGATACGTAGACAGCCAAAACTGCCGCTTTACACTTCTAATACACTCAAACGTATTTAGTAATGCAGATTGTCTTTATATAGCTGAAGACTGGTAGCTCAGTGTGAGTGCAATCTCACTGATGCTGCCCTAAGCTACTCGACGCTACTGCGCGACACTCAACTACTCACTGATGATATCACCACGATTGGTGACGAAAAGTTTGCAATAAAATTACCAAGTTTAGCAAACAGTTCAACCGCTAGCAGTTGGTTTTTTTGCCAAGCGTCGTGGGGTCTCCTGCGCAGCCAGATCGCGTTACTGGGTCTCGATTACATACTTCGCATGGGCCTCACATATGTATTATGCATGTGCGGAGAGGTGGAAGGATCGAACCACCCGAACCTCCTCCGTAATAGAGCATGTTGGTTCGCGGATTCGTAACCCATCACGGATCGCTTGGAACAGACAAGCTCGTTTTAAATCATCATACCAGGGTTGCGCTCCTGTGAGGCTTTCTTCGAATGGGACCCCCTATCCTGCATGTGTGACTAGTCTAGTGACATACGTGAGTTCTTTTACACTTCCCCGTGTTGAACCGCAGTAGTCGTTGACCATTTATGAACACGGTTTAGGTCTCTTTGCAACAGTTCGTGATATTCTTGCTGTCATCGGCATACGCAAGCAATTCGACTGAATGATACACGCAACGTCGCTGATATAAACCAAGAGTAAGTGTGTTCCAAGCACTGCTCCTAGTGAAACTCTGTATTCTACTTAAGTACGATCTGACAACAAGCCTTAAACACCAGTCGGCAACCGCCAATGAAGAAGGAAATTACGATCCACACAAGAACCGTGTTCCCAATGCCGTCTCGTGCATAAGTGTTGCTAACCGTGGGTTGCTGTTTCTCGCCCATCATAAAATTCAGCCCCGGGGACATGGCGAGCAAAGATGGTCCTGACTACGAACCCTCTAAAGTAAGCATCTAACCTGGGCTTCGCTTGTTTGCGCTTGCTACACCGAATATCCAGGAAGATGCGAAACGTAGAGGACCGATTCCGGAGACGATCTATCCATTGCAGGGTTGCTACTGCCTTATCGGTGAACTTAGGTCCAACTAAGAGATTTCTTAGTTCAACTTTGTTCTTTGATTTCGGGTGAAGCGTGATTCGCAAGTTGATGCGGTAAGATGTCACACATGAAGTTACACTGACTCACCTCATCGAGTTGCTTTCCTTTTAGGGAATTTGACATCGAGTTAGGAACATTCATTCAGACCACTGTATGTACACTAATTATTCACTCAATGCCCGTTTGCTCTGCTGGTGTCGTGATCTACTGCTCTGATGGTCTACTTAAAATCAATGCAGAGTTTGCAATTACAGCTTGGCATACTTAATTTTAGATCCAGTGGGAGTAACTGAATAACTAATTTCACGGGTGTCTTTGGAAACAACTACGCCTCAGCCAACTTACGTGTTAACGCCCTTCTGAGCTTACGGAGCACATTTGAGGGTGGACAAGTCCCTGGTCGCACCTATTTTAACAGAACTGTAGGGTTGTTCACTAATCTTAGAACCATAGTGAACAAGGCGTCATCTGTTAACCATTATGCCCAAGTTTCAACTCGTCTCAGGCTGTCTATATATGATGAGTCCAAACGAGGACGAAACCGGTTATTCGGCGTCAGTGCTGGGAGGAGCAACACCGAACCACCTCCAATTCGGATACGGTCCTTGTGCTCGTAATGACTCAGGTCTACTGCCAAGTGAATCGAGGTCTGCATAGAGACTGTGTGTCGCCATCCATTCAAACTGCAGGTACGCCAAATGCAACTTAGAGCCGAACGGCGTTGATTCCTGCGTATTTAAGCCACTGATATTATTGTCATCGTGATTGACGTTCACACCTACAGGTGATGCCTCCATCAAGCTGTAAGAAGGGCGTACTGTTAAGGAATGGTGTATGCTCTCTGGCATACTTTGGCCTATGAAAGCGAGTTTGGTGTTCACCATTTGCTCAATCGCCACCACCAGTATTTCATAGATCTGAGAAAGTTCAGGTACTCACTTGACCAGGTGGATGACTATACATACTGTACAATATCAGGGGACACTGAGCTGCTACTGTACAGTTTCACATCGCCCGATGAAAGCTTAGCACACTAAGAGTTGGCAACGGCTGAGGCACTCGGTCTAAGGTTATCCCACAACTCCCTTCATTTTGACAGAATGAGTTGCGACTTCTTTTGATCGGTCAACACAAGCCATCTCATCACTTTTCTTCGTGGATCGATGCTTCTCAGATTAATGGCTGAGCGCTTGACTATAACTTAGGTTCAAATAGCGGAAGTGTCTGAATGTCTATCTGTACGCTGCATTGATAGTGCCTAAAACCAGGGTGTCCGTAGCGCGAAGTGATGTGTTACAGAGGGTTGCGACGCAGGGTGGGTGACTACGTCGTCCGATCAGAAATCGTTATTGGGTGCAAAGTATTAATCAAGTAACCATAAACAAGTGATATCCAACGACTTCTGTATGTGAAGGTTAAAAAGCTTGCTAAGTGTTAGGTAGGCGGTCTCGGAAATTACTTTTTTTCTATAACAACTAATGCTTTGGAAAATCGCACGTGTGTTTTCGCGGCAAGGATGCACAAACTGCGATGACGAGGTAAAAGAGTATTCAGACATGTTAGACTCTAATTATACAGTGTACAAAAGGCGCTTTAAGCTGGCTCGATTATGTATAAACGCACATGTGTGTGGTAAAATTTGGCAGCGTAAATCTAAACAGTGTACGAGCGCCGATAAATGCGACCGTTAGGTAGAAGCACACATGCATACAGCTGACCATTGTATCGTAGAAGGTGGTAACTGTTATTGAACCTACCGTGGTAAAGAAGCCCCTGTAATCCAGCATCCCTGCTTTCTCCATCTGAGCGAATCGGATCCAGTTATGCAGTCCGGATATTTCCCGACCTCTTTTTTCACCAACGAAGACGTGCTCAAACGCTGACGAATCATTTACGCTAGACAGTGGTGCAGAAGCAAGCAAAGAAAACTTGAAAACTGTCAATCGAGGTAAATCGTAAACTTAAGAGATAACCGTTTACTTCAATTCAGCCAGGGCATTTACAAACTAATCCCATTTCTCGGGACAAGATTTTTATGTAAATCAGAATTCGCTCCATGCTAGACGGAATGCGTCAACCAAGAATCTGTAAAGACTCTACCTGTATGTGGTGCACTTTTGTTTTGATAATACGGTGCCAGTTGACAGAGACAGAGACATGCAACTATGTATTAAATCATTGCTCGGGCTTAACGGTTAGCTGGAAATCGAAGTATATCAGGCTGGACGAGATGGCTAAGTCCTACTGATACAGCACCTAATAAAAATGATGTTTTCTAAATAACTAACTTGTCAATGTTCGCGGAAATTTGTCCTTATGAGCGACCATTGAGGAACACTCTCTAAACTTTACAATAGCAAACTTTGTAAACAAACGATGACTGTCGGAAACCTATATGGTTGCTCATTGAAGAATTCGTGACAGAAAAGTCGATGAGTTAAAAAGAGTGAAGTTACTACATCACAGTAAATGGAAGATGAACTATTATGGGATTTCTTTTATTGCCATTTGAAGTGGTGTTACCAAGTCAGGTGGAAAAACGAGCTAACCAGCAAGTTTCCAGCTACACATCGTTCGTGGTCGCTGTTTTTTCAGAATGTACCAAATACTAAAAGTTGCAAATAAGCATAGAATTTATTACCTAGCTGGAGTATTATAAGTAATGTGAAAACCCAATTATTCTCGGCAAAAGCCGCTATTAATGCGGATACCGTAATATCTGCCGTAACAGCAGAAAAATGTCGTACCTACACAGCTACTGCAAGTGTAAGTCGTGTCACGCGGAGCCAACTCACTCCTCTGCAACATCCGTAACCTACATCTAAGTAGAAGGTGAGTCGTGCCATACCAATTTTTAAAACATGACTGTATACCGCTGAGCTTCAGGGCCTGGTGGAATAGACTTCTTCCTGGTAACGCAAGCGGCTAGTGATAATGGGTTCTGTTCCTGATGGAACCGAAGAATGTGCAATATTGACGGGTCCCAATTATGCAGAACGGTCGTCCGGCCTTGTCCATTGTATGTGAAAGACCAACTGAACTGGAAGCTACTGCAGAGTGACCCCAAGTATTCCGAATGCATGCGATTGTTTCAGATTGTTTACGCTGCTGTCAACGGAACAAGTGGAGGTCCGTCTGCTATATGCTAGGAAATTCTTGATGCCTCTACGCTGCTGAGCACACGTTTTCTCCGCGTAGCTCTGCAACATCAGGGAACACAACTCAGCAGTACCCAAACATGGTGTGCGAATAATCACCTTTTTACTTTCATCAGGCTTTTGTATAACTGCAAGCTTCTGGTACTCGAGCTGTTTTGCAGAGGCTTTCTTGCGACTTATGCCGATTCTGATTAGTGGTGACCTCTGATTAACAGCACTTGAGCAGTCAATAAATCTAAATAACGATTTTACGTGGTAAAATCAAAAGAATACTAACCATTTCGTTCATCTTTCCTCCGTGTCCCTTAGGTGTTCGGAGTAATTAACCTATTTATACTTTTTGGTTTTATTGGGTTGACAATAATCAAGTAAATCCGGTTTAGACTGGTATCAAACATGCGTAGGTTGTAAGCAAAAAGTGCATGCAGGCAAAGGCCTCATGGTTTTGAAATTTTTATGCCATACGCCCTATTTTGTTTGCATTATCAGAATGAAGTTCAAACGGGATCTGGAAGTGTCATTATTTTATCCGTCCTCAGCCTTCCAAATATGTATAACTGGTCACATACAAGTTAATACCTTTCATATTAGATGGATGTAGATGATAAAGTAATCACTGAATTTCCTCATTTGATGGAACGCTACATGGGATAGTGAATCATTACAGGCCACACAACTTACCGTTTTCGACTGTAAAGTGTGAACCAAATGCTCTTAAGCATTTGTTTGAAATCCTCTTCTGTCCTCACGTTCAGTCCTTTATTTCGCAAAAACGCAAATGTCTGTTTCATAGTCTCCGTCTTCATCAATTCACTTAGAAACGTTTCCACTTCTTTCTGCTCTTTGCTACTCATTTGTTCTTTGATGCCCACAGACCAATGATAGTTATCCAGAAGATCCATAAACGCTTAAAAATGCAGTTGCAGCACCAGTTTTAGTAATTATTACGGGATGTAGTAGCAGAAAAGAATTAAGAAACGGTATGAGCAACACATAATGCGACAAACTATTCTTCATGTGCACTGCTACAATCGCTTGTGAGCATTATGGAGGTTATAGCTGACCAACTACGCCACACGCACAACCACGAGGCAGAGATTAAGCAAGTGGGCGAAAAGAGCTAAGACTGTCATACGCAACATTCTAGGTGTAGTGGCTAGGCATGCTAACCTGACACCCGTCTTCCTGATACAAAGTACAACGGTAAAAATAGATTACTCCGAGTTTTGCGACCATCTCGTATCACATACTTTCTCAGTCTTCTTGACGCTAGAATCCACTCATATCAGCTTTGGTATAGCGATTGTGTCAGGGAAGCTGCTAATTTTTCGCATCCACAGTTTCCCCGAAATTGATGACATTTTTACAAAAACGCTAGAATTGATCACACTGTAAGGCTGGCGGATCCCTTATCCAGATTATTTTATAATTGTTCGGAGTAAAAGCATGTCGCTACCACGTGGAAGCAGGGTATCATCACTCAGAATTCAAAAGCTAGTAACCATTTGGAATCCGCTAACTACCGCCCAGTGACCATCCTCCTATTTCTATCGAAGCTAATGAAAGTGATACTTGTTGGGGTGCTAGTGGGCTGCTCTACTTAGAACACGGTCTCAGTTCTTAATAGTCATGTATCACCAACTTACAAAGTGCGTAACATTCGACTGATATAGCCGATAATAAATTATAATGTGTCAGCTGTACGCCGTAACTGCGCTTCGCTGTCGTGCGACCACCAGCAGTCGCACGCGGGCTGAGTGTACCGCGAAAACGCCCATCACTACGGGGATTCAAACCCGCACCACAAGCCTAGGAGACTAGCTAGTTACTTCCAAGCTACGGGCCGACGATAGTGGAATAGGAACGGAATACTCTATAATGAATAATGTATTGTGGGAGCAAGTAAAAATTTAAATCTGTACAACTCCAACGGATTAGGGTCAAACATTCATAAAACGTATCTGCCACTTGTTGATACGCTGCTCGTCTTTAATTTGCTATTTAGTATTTAAAAATATTAGTAGTACAGTATCCTTGAGCGTACAAATATAAGAAGTCACTGATAATGTGTGTTCTCTGAAGCGTATTGCGATAGAATGCAAATCCAAAAACGGTTTTAAATTTTTTCGCTGGTTTGGCATTCACAGACAGACATTTCCAAGCAGTTACTACTCCCCATACGAGCCACACAGTGGGGAACTCGTTTAATATCCGGCACCAAAAACTTGTACCGGTGACCGCGGATGCTGTATCGCGTTCGTAACGGAAGCAGCAGCATCTAGATGGGGTAGTCACCGAAATGTAACATGTGGTAGGTTACAGTGAGATTAGTTTGCAGCAGACATGGTGTAGAGTCAGTTTCTCGCACCGGTGTTCCTAAGATAATTCTCATTAGCCTGACATGAGCCCGGTAGAGACCTTTTGGAGCCATTTGACCTTCTGTGCATGGCATCAGTTGATTGGACATTTGGCGGATGAGCTCCCACGGCCTCACAGGTAAGTCACGTATCGTTCACGCATCTTATATGATGACATGACTATTGCAATTGCACATGTACAGCTCACCTGACCTGGGTGACACAATACCAAGGGCATTAAAGACAGTCCACTTGAACATCACTGTAACGTTAGCTTCGTGCCTTCAACGTGAAAGAACCCCCTATTTACAAGACTGAAAATTGTGCGGAACCCTCGTTCAATCACTCTCCTCCCAGTAGTCTCCTAAGTAATACAAGACATTTTCGCAGAGGCCCTCATGAAATACCTTAGGGGAGGTAACTTTATAGTGCCACAGCAATATGGACTCTGCCGCAATAGGTTCTGCATTACAAGCTTGCTGCTAGCTCGAGGACGCTGGCCAGAGTCTGTGGCTGCCAGAGTGTGAGTCGACCTCTTCGGCCTGGATTTTTTAAAGCTTTCAATCGCGTGGGTTACCGCAATCTCCTTCACGATCTTCGAGGCTATGGAGTCTATGATACTGCGCATAGTTGGAAGAACAACGTCCTCAAACAACGTCAGCTGAATCTAGGATTCTGTCGTGCATTTCCGACCGAAATGGTGTCCAGTGTGGGTGCTCCAATACTCGGTACTGAGGTCACCTTGGATCCTGGCAGTCGGACTTCCTAATATTTACAATGTCAAGATCTGGCATGACATCAAGACAGTGGACGATCACGCGGCACTGCTTATCCGAAAATCGGCTCCAGCTTAACGTGGCAAAATATAATTTGTGAGCATAAGACATCAGTGTGTCCATGAATACGGACTTGTAGACCAGAGAACTGACCTCGGGGTAATCGTACAGTATGACCTTGGCTGCTCGAAACAGGTCAGAAAGGCATAGGGAAGACCTGGTCGGCATCTTGAACTATTAAGACCTTTCGGTAAGTTTGAGTGATCTATCTTCCCGCAAATGCTGAAGGTCTACGTGAGGCCCCACGTGGGATACGTGATCCAAGTCTGGTGTGTCATGCGAGAACACCATATTGATATGCTTGAAGCTCCACAAAGTAGAGCAACCAAATTCGTTGGGGGTTTCTACTACGTCCCCTACTAACACTGATTGTAAGGCCTGGGATTGGCCATCAGTGAGTATCGGCACCCATGAGAAGTCCTCAATATGCTCCAAGAAGCGAGCTGCTTCATCTCCGCTACAGAACAAATCTGACAAACCACATGCGCAAACTAGATATATACTGTAGTCAACTTGATCATTGGACAAATTGCTTTTCCCTTCAGGTATCTAAGAGAGAAACCCATTCCAATCCACGTCGTATTGGCCCCATGCTAACGTTATTCAAAAAACACCTTGACGACACAATGTCCAGCTTGCAACAGGTGATATAATGCGTTTCACTCAGAAGATAAAATTATTCGAACAGGATGATGTGCTCAGTATACCTGCATCAGTATCCATGTGGATAATTTCATCAGCCAATTAAATCTCAAGTTTCTCCCTTTTCTGTGCTATTACTTACCTAAGTTTTCCCAATCCTCACTCTGCACATCCTACGGGACTTGTCGAGCAGTTGCTTCTTGCCCAACATAAACCATTGTTCATTGTTCACTAACCAAGACACCAAACGAAGTGTTCACCAGCAGAAGCTGACTACATAATAAAGCCAGTCGGAATGTCGTCGGAATGTTTCCCTTACGAATGTGTCATCCGTGGAAAGCTGTTTGCATGTCACATTTATTCGCCTTGGTTATATAGTAAAAATGAACTCGACGATGTGTTGTAACGGTTCTACTACTTAGTAACACCTTAGCCCATGGAGAGATAAGAAAACCTATTCCAACAATGTTCTCAATAGCCCCTGAGGAAAGCAGAGCATGTGGATTTACATGTGCGGGAATGCTGCTAGCCTAGTTAGTCCACAAACGTGTGTGGCCTTGTTGAAAACGTGTACTTTAAGGCATGTGTTTCCCCTAATATCATCTTCCTGGACTCAACAAATATTAACGGCTTACCCGTATTATCCCATTGGTTCATCATTTATGTTTAAAGATTTTTCATGACATCCAGTTTTGTTTTGGCTTCAGGCTTCCATTATGACGCTTATCCCTCTCCCTTTCGCCCGTCTACTACACCATTGCTTTTCAGTAGCTTTTTACAGAGATTACGGAAAATTAAACATGGAACTCCACGCACTAATGACTGCCAACTCCAAATGGAACTAAAGCAAGTCAAGTTAGATCCCATCAGCTAAATCATCCAAATTTCTTTCTCAGTAGTCAAATCGTACTGTTGGTAGGGGCGATATGCATTTCAAACCAGTCAACTGTCGTCATTAAAATGCTTTATCTCTGAGGAAACGTTTGCGTCACTCCTCAGATCAAAACACTGGCCTATCGCTTTCGATGTTGACTAGCCAATCCATAACTTATGTAGGCAAGTCTTTTTAAACAGCTTCTAACAACTCACTAGCATCTCATGGCTAATCATTTTTATCGAATTGTATAGGATCCGATAGACTTGAAAGGATCTCTTTTAATGAAAATGAACTGGAACCTATAAGTTAAGACTACACGATCATGACGTCTACTGCCCCAACCCATGCGCACCCCAAAATCATAAGCCTGTCAATGTAAGCTGACTATTCATGTGGGGCAGTAGTAAAATGGCGTTGCTCAAGAGTCGCGCAAAATGCATGCACTGACGTCCATGCAGCAACTGGTCGCTTATCAAGTAACAATCTCAAAATCTCGATCTCGGTACATCGCTAAGCTCATCGGCAGACTGATGTTTACAGATTCATTCCTGTGTTCAAACTGTCCCACTGCCTGTTGTTTATACAATTTTTTTCCAGTTTACTATCATGATGTTAGCCGAATTACCGGCTAGTTTCCTCAACCCCGAATCGACTGAGAACATCCATGGGGCAAGAATTGCCAGAATGTTTACCCATGAATCTCAATGAAACAGAAGTCAAAATGGAAGACAAATATGCAATGACACACCCTTACTTAACAAATTATGGAGGGGAAAATAGACGAACACCGTTTTTCTAGATTTCGGGAGAAGTAAATCATCATTTCACCACCGACCTATTTTATAACAGAAGAAAGGTAGTTCACCTTGAAGGTATACCATATCGAAGTTGTGACACTAATAAATGATAGCTTTCGAAGATGTCCAGTAATTGGTCAATGGGTACTACGGCAACTACACATGCTTTTTACAAGCAGCAAGGAACTTTTCCACTGATATGAAGAGATAAATGGATGATTAGTAGAAATTGGCAGTCTGTAGCAAACATCTATCCTAACAGTGCGTCACAATGAACGTGCTCCTTTTGGTTAGTTAATATGTGGACACCATGTTCACTAGTACACTCGGTAAGTCATCATTTTCCCTCACATTCGCGTGATTGGAGGATGTTTGATAAGCTGTGTAATTATCACACATTGAACAGAATTTTACCTACTGAAATAGCACTGAATTCAAGAGACGAGGTAGGTGTGTCTAGGTTAATAATCGACCCTAAGGTCTTGAAATACTGCACAGGTCATTTGGAAGGGTCGTCTTGAATCATGCATGTGAATGGATAGCGATTGGCAATCTCAGAATGGACCGCCATCCTCATGGAGGCAACCACTGGTCAGTTCGATCACCGGGACCATAAATGCATCAAATGGACATTAAGCGGTGCGGTGTTTTCGGACGGGTATCTCGCAATATCACTGTACTTCAGATACAATCCTAATAATCGAAATGAACAATGTTCACTTCAACCTGAAACGCGGTCCACAATGAGATTGCTTATCTAATCCATGCACCCAACGAGCATTTCGAAATCCATTCAACCAGTCATCAAGCACTGGGACAAGCATTTGCCCTCACCACCAGTTTGTTTCGTTGTAGAGACTTCAGTTGACACTCAATAAACCATATGTTTCTTCACAGCTCTGCTATCTCTACCTGATACTTCGGACAGCAGTGGCAGATTGCAGGTTTTTAGGGCAAGCAGAACCCAATAGCCATCTACTACCTGACTTGGATGGTATCTTTTCAACTAATGAGGTGACACTGGTCCTACGGACATTTATACTCGCCTAATTAAAACAGAAACGTTAAGCAGAAAAAGTAAAGGACACCACTGCAAGACTAAGGTACAAAAGAACGTCATTAAAAAATTTCCAAGGGGTTAATGACATCGTGGAAATTTAATGTAGCCTGAACGGTTAATTAAGCAAAACGCACACATATATAATATTTTCCCCCTTTCTCAGTCCTTCGCCAGTGTGAAGTCAGCTGCACAAATGTGTCCTTCCGCACGTAAAGAACGTATCCAGTTTGTCTGCTGGTTACAGCTTCCGCATTGCAAAAATTCAAGGCGTCGACAGCAGGGAACGTGCTTGCAGGATCCACACCATGCGCAGCAACTAGCAAGTGGCGCTCTATTAATGTGGTTTTTCATGAGGAATGAGATTGCACCTCAAGAATTGCGCGTTATTTGAAAACGTGTTCACTCTCCCTACTGTTTCGCCGGAGTTTAATACCGTCGCACTGTGGGCCAATAAAGGAATTATTTTGTACCGCACACAGACGAGTGAAGTGTAGTATACACCCATTAAATGAATTTGTTTACGAGAATCGTCCGTAAAATGTTGGAATTAAGTCACTACAACTGGTATCCACTGTATTTTATGTCTATTTAACAGAACTGTCAGATTATGGGCTTCGAGACCAATTCTCAATTGATTGCATCCTAAACGCATTCGCTTGCATCCGTGGTGCAGCAGCCTGCGACATAAGCTCAAAAAGTATGATCCGTTAGTCATGAAATTTGCGTCCACCATGCCAGGCGTAGTCAGCCGCTATCAGCAATAGCATTCGGATAATATGCCGGCATAGCTGTTTAACATACACGCAGCTGGGGCATATAGCCGTCGCGCTTTGAATTGGGGGTACCGAACATTGGCAACACTTCAGCCAGACCCACGCAACGTAGTAGACAAAGGTTTGATCAAACTGAACTGATCGGTGGATGATGTCTTGCTGCACGAACCTCAGCCTTCCGTTCGACTAGGTGCGCACCAGCAGTGGGCGATAAAAGGGTGGAATCAGGTGCTTGTTCACGAACTGGTTCTCAAAAGTCTGGCAGGTGAAGGAAAAAGGAACTCAGCACAGGTCCGGATAACACAAACATGGTAATGAACGTGTCCGGAATACGGGGTCACGTCCTCTGGCTTCATCGAGCCCACTGTGAATGAAGTCAACATGGCTTGAGCGAGCAAACGTGATATCCGTTTGAGGCGAGGGGATTGGTGAGGCACGAATGACCAGAGTTTGGCTATATTCACCATGGGCTCGATCAAGCCAGGGGGCATGACCTCGTGTTCCGGACATGTTCATTGCGACCTCTGTCACGCGTCGATGATGCAGCTTTCGTGACTAATTGATTATAGTTTTCGCGCTAAGGATGCAAGCTGCTGCATTAGGGATGCAAGCGAATGCGATAAAAAGGCAATCAATTGAGAAATCCTATAATCCTGAGCACGTAAGCATTTATCGAGGAAATGTGGTGTGGTAACGTTATCTTTTTAGGCTGCCAAATAACACATCGATTTGCTATAATCAATTCAGATGAATGAAGCTCCCAAACGTCAATAACATGATTCTCTAATCGTTATTGTCCACTCGTGACCTACAAGTGCAAACACATTGTTTTAACTGTGTTCTAGTTCCAAGTTATCACAAAATGTGGAGGTGCTTTCATTTGAGATTCATAGGTTACCGAAGGTATTCGAAAGTTGAAATTAGTGTGTTCTGTATACATTTCCTTTAGCCATGGGTTACCGACAGGTAGTTCGCCTAGGGAAACTTACATCATATCTAAATCCTCGTTTGCCTGCTAGCAGCCCACCAGAATCTACTGAGGCTGCTGTAAACTTCAAAGACTTTGCACAATTAAATCCCGGTTGGTTTCTGTCACCCAGCTCCAATAAGGCGTGGATAACAACGAAATACGCACCCTGGGAAATAAATAATTAATAAATCTCTTGTTCTGGACTGTGCAAGGCACAACTGCGCATGCGTTATCAAAGCAAAGTGCACCTTAATGCTCCGGATCAGTTGTTATATAATTAATGAATCAGTTCCATACGTGCACACTATAAAAAATTATGACCATCAAAGTTGCTGTCGTTTTAGTACATCGCAAATCAGTATAGGCAGAACAGGATCCATATCACCTGATCCACTGACTGTTAGAGAAGCTGTCAAAAATAAGAAGGATGCTTATGTAACCGTTTATGATTGCAGACTTTCGTTTTGCTCTGGTGGTCCCCTGATGTTTGTTTTTACGTATCATTTCGCTTTCACTATTTGCTATTTTGAGTTCTTGTTTCTGCCTTCAGATCGCAGCCGTACTCTGACGCGAACACTCTCAGTTTCCGTTTTTTGTGTACACCCGAGTAGTTTCTCACTTGTTAACTTGTTATTCGCTTTACTTGTCCGGCTGCTTTCCGTAGTCTGATTGGCTTTCGCGCTTGTGTGTCATGTTATATAACGAAATGGTTTTCGCTATGAAAAAGAACATTTGGATCTTAGTCGTTGGTCGTTCGTGTACACACTACCGCTTTTGGATGAAGCGGTTGCGGGGCTCGGACAAAATACTGGCCACTTGCACTTCTACAACGGACCACCCAATTGTTAATAGACCCTATTTTGCCAAGTTGTGGATTAATTTTCTCGAAAAGGATCTCAGGTTGCATGGTTTCCAGCCTTTCCTCCAGATAAAGAACAACAAGGGATGTCTATTCACACACAACGCTGCTTACCGCTGAACAGTTGCACAGCACCTGTTTCTAATAGTTTGTACAGTCGGGGCCAAAAATCTACGTGAAAGTATGAAATCAAGAAGTGTATACTTCGGACACAAGCTGATTAGCATGCACATCTTCGTAATCACAAAAATCCATCAGTGAACTCCATAAATGTAGACCAGCCTAGATCAATCACATCGTGAGGTTATTCAGAGTATAGCGTGGCATGCAGTCCTGTGGATGAACTACAGTGAACTCATAGAATTACAACTATTGTTATGAAACGGACGTAGTGGAAGGTAGAAATCTTAGGTAGATCAGTATACGGTAGTAGGTACCAACTTTCGTTTGGTATATATAAAATTATTGTTATCAACCTCTCAGTCGAGACGTCAAATCTTTTCCGACGTAAGCGCAGTTGGTGGACGCGGTCAACACATACGTACATATAATAAATGAAGTCTGGTAGAAAACAAAGAATAAATGACATCTTTTTGCGTTAATAATTACTAAATGTAAGATCATACTTTAATGCAAACACATAACTCACCGGGAATCGTATTTGAAAATGGACTTGTCCAAAGTTGGAAGAGTGGACCTGGTGCCATGTCCATTGAAGCTCCTTCTGCAAGCTTCCCTTAAAGGGTGCTTGAAGTCTAAACAAGCTCTGGAGCTTACCTTGAAGATCTATCCAAAAGTTGGTTCTGAAGTCCACTTTTGTCTTCTCTAATCTCCATATTGTGTTTACAAATTGTTGAAGTTCGCTTTGCGTTATTTTGAGGCTGCCAAATTTACCAATAAAAGAGAACATTCAGTTGAACCGCTTTAAGTTGTAGGCTAATAGCAGCATAGTTTTCAGCGACATTTTATCGTTAAGTACTGAAAAGAACGGGCATTATGTTCAAGAACGGTTATATTTTCAGCTGTGGAATGAGCCGTATACTAGTAGCTGTGGACATTAGGCTGACGCTATTAATTACTGTGGCGATCAACTCTCTGAATACAGACCAATCAATATGCGAAACATATGATTTGCATAACTCAAATGCACTCGTGAAAAATCACTAGATTATGCTCTGGGTCATTTGCATTTGGCAGTGTGAGAGTTGATGATCGAATGTGACGGAAAATGAACAGTTTATGCGTTAAGCTGTTCCATTGTATGCAGAATGGAGTCAGAACTTACACTCTACTACTGAAATGGCAACACATAATTCTAACGAACTTGATAATTATTAGTTTGTCAATCCAAATAAGCCTATGCTTCATTTTGAATAAGATGAGCCCACAAAAACGCTACCGTCACGCAGGACCCCATCGTTACCGGGTATTATAGCCATTGAGAAAGTAATTTTTACGATCGTAACAATGGCGTTTTTAGTTCCCATACTATCTATAATCGTAGATAGTAAATATTTACACGTTACATCTTTGGTGAAAAAACAACTAAGGGAATTTCCTCAGGCTTTTAATGTTTGTGTCATAGAACGAATAGAACTCCAAGAATATTAGGCCAATGTGTGCTGTATTACCCTATCAGTTGTATTCCAGCCGTGCAGATTGACGCATTTAAAATTTGATTGGAGTTTTAGCTATTGCTTGCGTGCACATTTTTCAAAGTAGCTTAAGTTGTGCATTGGAAGTGCAAAGCTACATTGTATGCTTAAAGCTGAGTGCATTTGTGCTTTACAGCACCAAAGAACAGTCATTTTCTGATTGAATTGAATCCACGTTCACTAAAACCAAACTGTCAAGTACGATCGTACCTTACTGGTAAATAAGAAGTTTGGTAGTCTGGCATTATATTATCTTAGTGTACACACCAAGCACCCTTAATACAATGGATCCGTTTGCAATTCAGACAGAGGTAATATCTTATTTTTTGGAACTACGTATAACGTACACATAAGATTGTTCTAGTAAGTAAAGTGAAATTGTTTCTCAACCACTTCCTGCTTTTGATTTGATGATTATTACTATGTGTTTTAACATATACTTCTCTTTACCTGTTTAACCCTATCACTTATTGGATCATACGGTACAATACACTTACTATCAACTGAACCCAGTTCAATATTAGTGAAAACCTTACTACAGCTGGAGCAGCCGTTAAGTAAAAACATTTTTGAAGCCCGCGTCTGGAGCATGTAAGGTGATAAGTGGCTTCCATCGTCAAAACGTTAAAAGTGTAAAGTAAGTTTTGACTTTAAAAATTAGCATCTTGTTCACTACTTACACTAAACCTTTAAACTTATTCATACGCTATGTAAACAGACAACTGATATACCTGAGACTTACTCGATAGCGACTCCCCCAGAAAGACAAGTGAGAATCAAACAGAGGTTTACAAAAAGATGTATCATTCCGATGCAGCGGATGGGCCATTTTCGACCTCTGGTGTCCAGATATCAGCATGAGACACTCAAGGTCAAGCTAGTCTCAACCAATCATGCATCACCAATCATACAGACGTCGAAAGCCCGGTTGATTGAGGACAGGAGCGTTATCCCACACAAACAACGTTGCATCCGTAAATGAAAAAGCACGTAGAGCAACTCACTTCAATTTCAATTCAAAATTATAAGATTGTTCCCGTCGGCGAATATACAATTACTCCGACATCAGTAATGAAACAGATCCGATCCCATGGGAAATGTTGATCCTTTCAAATCGAAACTATCGCGTACAAGAACAGCGCAGATATCGCCGTAAATGGAAACACCGGTCGACATAGATAGACTGGTTGATAACATTATGTTATAGAACGCTTTTATGCGTTTTATGTGTCTATAGCATGTATTTGAATTGTTACTAGTTTTTGCACTGTTGCCGTTTAAATTCGCTCAATCACATTTTCTGTTTGTATCTACATTTGATTTTTGGCAGCATAGTTGTAGTTATTCACTTTATCTTACTTTAACAAGTGCTTCTCCGCAAAGAATTTTATTAAATGTATGACAAATGGGATATTATCCAGGAACTTGAATGCACACTTATATCAACCTTCTTACTGCAGGTCTCGGTGCATTCAAGCTCAACTCAGTTTACCCGCTTTTCCAGCTTGATTAGCTGCACATTACAACTATTAAACTATAAAGATACGTAATTAAAAGTAACGAGCTGTAAAACGACTTTATCCAGAATAGACGAAACCCAGAGAGAAACCGAGTGTCGGAGAAATTACATGGCAACATATCTCCATTTACCGACTAAATAACTAACAGATCAGCTAATCCCTAATTAAGACGACATGAACTTGTACTGTTAAACAGCACATAGAACTCAGCCTCATTTAGTTCGTTTGAGATAACTCGCATCCTTTTATTCTTCAATGGTTTACTTTATAGTACTTAAACCCTTCAATTACCTAGAAAAGCTTTGTATCTTTAAGAATACAACATTACACAACAGCAACAATAATGACTTAAAAGAAACAATTGATTTCCACGCAACGTAAGCCAAAAAGTTGCCACTAGGATTGTTTTGTTCCACTACCTTCTGAGGCGTCACCGATTTCCATGTGGACCAGTTGCAATATTAATTTCGCACAGGATTTGTTGCACTTTAGCTCCTGGTAATACCTATATTCAGTTTTCCACTAGTTCCCATTCTTATTTTTGTCTTCATTGTGCTCACTCCTAACAAATAATCCGGCCGGACATGTCAAGCTTCGGCTTTTCTTATTCGCAAAATACCATTGACCATTTCGGACTTAATGCTTTAACGGTGCACTATGCATTTGGTCATTTCTACTGCATGCATTTCAGCTCTCCACTTATATGCTCCTCGATACTTCTTTCGCACCCCATCTACATGAACTACTTTCGCCGACTATTTCTACAGCCTCGGATGAGGCATTCTTATAGATGTTTTCGCCATTTCTCTGAATACCTTACAGATGCCTTGCAACATGTTTTTACATTTTGTGATAAACCTGCGGTCATTGCACTTTCAGGCTAGTGTTGCCAGAAACGGCATTCTACCTGCTAGTAAGTCATAATGATCCACTGCCGTCCTTGGTTACCTGGTAGCACCTATACTTGACCGGCGCCCTAAATCGGTAGTGATTACAGGCTTGCTTCCTGAACAAGATGAAGATGAGCACCGCCCAAGTGTCCCGATAAAATAAGCTTGGAATCTGGGGTCTTTCCGGGTGTGTAGAAGTCTATCTGCTGCGACTAACCCCCACAGAGTTATAGATTATTAATGGGTAGTGGGGATTTGCCTGTAATTTCGGAGGTCGTTCGTCGCCAACCCATTTCAGTCAGCATGCTTTGACACGACAGAAAAGCATCAGACAGCTATACCAACCCTCTGGATGACGTCAGCGGTGCTCCTTCCTAGCTCCTTAGGCCAAACACTCTCCGCTACACAGTTTGTAAATGACATGACAGTGGAGGATGAGCCGGGCTATATCGAGGTGTACTCGCAACCATGCAGGTCAGCGTCCGGTGCACACGGCTTACTGACTCAAACTACTGGCATCTAGAAGTCATATGGTCAGTGCTAGGCAGGTGTCCGAATAAGGCGCTCCACTGATGATACGCAAATTGTCGAAATATCGGTCTGGTACATTTCCAGACTTGTGGAAGCCTGCTAAATGCTAAGAGCTTACGACGAACCAAATCTGAAATTTATAGATTACCTCCTGGCATTAGAATTTCCGTTTCCGATTAATTTCCTAGAATGCACCCACCTAAGCTACACCTACGTAAACTGGGTAGCATAGAACTGAAGTTACTACGACAATGCAAATGGCTATTTTCTGATATCTTCTGAACATTAAAACCCCGGCGAAAATGTTCAGGATCATGTGAAACCTTACATAGATTTGAATGTCAGGGAAGAGAGGACAAATTCGTTACGCCCGTTACTTGTCCCACATTAAAACATATCCCATTGCGGTACATTTGACTAATGACGTACCAATGGAAAATGACGAATGCCTATTAAAGCGCTTTAGATGGTTAGGGTGATATTTACTACATCATTAACAAACGTTCTAGCGATAGATGACATCAGTCCGTGGACTCCGATTGATGTACAAGGGAAGAGGTAGGAAAGTGTTATGACCTTGAGTGAATGAGTTACCACGATGAACACGACCTCCGATTGTCTCACCACCAAGAGACCCATGACTACATCCTGAGAGGGTTAATTTACAGTCAGGTTGTCTTTTCATTTCCCATAATGGAATAATAAACCGAATATTAATTAAATACTTAAATGTACTAACTTTATTATATTCCATATTTCTTAATTGCGAGCGATATCACGCGGGTAGTGCATCCAGAGGTGGAAAGCGCTTAGGTGATATTGCAGCCAGTTTTACCGCATGGTGAGCGCTCAGCTCATCTTAGCGTTGTGGTTAGGTTTCAGGCGATGATGCCATGTGTGATTACTTTCTATCGGTAGCCGGTGGTTCATGATGATGTCACCTGTAGACGTTGATAATTTTAGTTTTACGTCTGGGTGGATGTGGGGGAAAAGTCGAAATATTAACCTTATTAGTTACTTATAGCATCTATGAGACGACGGTAGTAACATAAACAGGCTTCCTATGTTTCCGTCCTTGTATCCTGTGCTCCATGATGTTATGATCAAGCACAAACATTTTCGAAAGTATGCGATGGGCATGACGTTCTAAACCATTCCATCTGTAACTTAATATATTATCTTTTATGACAACCTGCAATCACTTTTCTTCTTATATGTAACATTCCATAGATAGACACAAACAAACGCACCACCTTTACATTCTGCGCCGGAGTCTAGTGCTGAGAGAACAACAAATTTCTTATGTCTCAGTAACTTTTCATTATGGGAGCCTTACAACTCTTGTAAAATCCACCTCATTTTGCCACTTGCAAGGTTGTTAAGCAGTACTTCGCCAATGCAGCTGATGTTTGTCGTAGTATATATAGTACTTCCCATCTTTGTTCACATCGCCTTAACTATCTGATCATTCGACATCATTGTACCAGGCTACCCCAAGCGTAATATATTTATATTACTTGATCCCGGAGCCGTAGCTGATAACTTGAGAACAGAGTTTGATACTGTGGCTAGCCCGTAGGGATTCAATGAATTAGGGCAAGTAAAAGAAGTATTTTATACTAGATACTATACTCACCCGTAAACTCTGATCAGTTGAATGCTTGTTGAAAAGACAGATGTAGCGGCACATCAGACAGGTTTTTATACCATGTTTCTGATGATACTTGAATATTCGACTGCCATACCAGTTCCCATCTATGATTACCACGTTTCATATCTCACATCGGGCTCCGATTATGGTCATAGGTTGCGCATGCCAGCATATAACCTACAGAAAAGTGTGCTGTTTGAACGAATGGAGTGTGCCTGGAAGAAGAGGAGATGCAAAGTGACGAGATGGTCAAAAGGAATTTAGTTCTTCACTTCGAAGTTGGTCTCGCTTGAAGCCTCTCGGCACCCTGGTTGGGGACCGAAGGACGATGAACACGTTTGGTTGAATACACTTGTTGACATGGCTAGAAGGCGACCCCAGTTTGAATTGCGCATATATTCGTACCTACCCCTCCCGCTTAGCTTCCCTTCCAAACTTCATCTCATTCACTAGGCATAATGTGGGGCTATTTGCGTCACGATCGCCGACTGCTAGTACTCAAAAATAATGTCCAACCCTGACTGGTGTCTCAGCCGGCGTGCAACTGTTGCAGGTTTTTACTTTTTATCTTATGTATTGCGGCACAATAGCCGAGGTGCTTTTCACCTCTATCCAACGTCTATAATGATTATAACTGATACATAATTTGAGCACACGCAATTATTTTATTTAGTGCCACAGCTACCTTGTGGGACTGTTTGATCAAGTGGAGTACCCTGTCTAGACCAGTGTTTCTCAAAGTTTGGTCCACGGAACCCTTGGTGGTCCGCAGGATTCCCGAAATGTAAAAATAGCGTTAAAATTTCTCTTGCACATGCTCATTTTCTTTTATATTTGGTGAGCAACCGGATGTGAACAATTGTTAATCAATTGTAAGTCAATTGTTAAATGATATCTGACGGTATACATTAGGTTTGTGCATGGCCCATGTAAAACCCACTCCTTCCAAGGACAATCTGGTTTTTACATTGAATTGAATGTGTGTCCGAAAATATCAGATGTCAGAAACTAATGTGGTACACTCACCGTGATGCTATGGGTGGAGTCTTCACTGGCCATCCTACATCCGAGCAAGTTCACATAACCCAGGCTTTATCCTTTTGCGGGGGTACGAAAAGTAAGCCTTAAGACGTCCCCTTTTTGCTGTCATTTCGAAAGTTGCTATACTCCGAAGTCTACAAACCGGAAAGAGAGGCCCATTAGTGCGATCCCGCC